ATTTGTCAAATGTTGTTTATTGTCTCTTCATAAAAACTTCAAGCTTCACTCTGTCTTTTAACTTAACAGAAATAATAATTTGACACTTAGCGTGATGGTTATTACGGAGCGCCTGAAATTCTTTATCTTGTGGGAAGAACAAGATAAATAAATTATGCACACAGAGTTAATATGTGTGGAGTAAAGATACCACTGGCCGATGCTTTGAAGACAACAGGCAAACATTCTTTTGTTGTGTCGTGGTAAAAATAAATCTCGATTAGCTGAGTTTTCTCTCTGCCATGGCACAAATGTGGTGGCTGGGTGATTAAAAACAACCATTTTTAATGTAGTTTCTTAAATAGATTCTGACTCTGCTGCCTTTAACAACCACATGGCTTTAATAGCAGTTTGGCTTTTTAAAGGCCACAACACCCGATGGCACTAAGACACAACTGAAGGTTATTGTTTTCTGAACAACAACCAGTCTGACAGAGTTTAAATACGATGGTTACACAAATGTCCCTGGTCTCTCGCTCTCTTCTCTCTCTCTTTACCACTCGTCAACCGGTCGAGGCAGATGGCTCTTAAAATGGAACTGAATTGAAAACCTTTTATTTGAGTTCGTTCATTTTCTGCCACGTCTTTTTTTATTATTACTGTACAACACAAACATCTTCTTAAAATAAATAATGCGTGCGCGCAAGAATAAGACATGATCTTTTGACTTCATGGGCTCTGCAGATGACGGGTATCGACTAACATGTTTACTTCATTCATGTGTTAACATGTTGCCTTCGACAAATAAAACTCATGTCTCAAATCAATCAAACCACTTCCGGCTCCTGACCCTTACTGACGCGTGCTTTGATGTTTATTTTGACGGTGCAGCCTGTCTGTTTCCGGTCTGTTGCTGGCTAGCTTCCTGCGCCTTGACGCAGCTGATGGTGTTTCTCGGGTGTTCGAGGTTTGGTTGTTTGTCAGACTGTGAGTTGTGAGTCAGACGTGAAGCTGTAGAATCATCATGTCGTCGCTTTCAGGTGAGTGAAGCCCGCTGCCGCCATCATTCTCTTACCTGTACGTTCAGCCACTAGCTTGTGCGGCTAGCTGCCAAGTTAGCCGTGTGGTAAATACACACTTCCCGTTCGTCCTTTCAAAGTTAAACTCGAGAGGAGCACCAGCGCCTAACTCGCCATGAAGTTAAAATCATCTCCTGTACTAAACACTGTCCCTTCACCACCATGCAAAACTTCTAGAGGTCAAGGAAAGATGTGAAGGGGAGGTTGTAAGGAGTTAGGAAAGGAAACCGGGGGGGGGTCTCACTCCTCTTCCACTCAGCTTTTAAAAACCAGCAACACACAATAACAACTTTCTAACAGAATATACACTGAAGAAGCGTCCGGTTCAAAACAGAATGACACGTCCTAACGAAATGTCTTCAGTTCAGTTACTCACAGGAAAAATCAACAAAATAAAATAACAGGGCTGAAGAACACATGTTGATGTAGTTTATGGTGTTTTGAATTGTAAGTTCAACCAGCTACTAGTTCACTGGACAGATGTGACAGATGAAATCAGCTCAGACAAACCTTTGGGGACCCTACTTCCTCTTAACATGCCTCCATCCTGCTCCTGTGGTGTCAGCCAAGTGTCCGCAAGCCCCGACATTCAAATTCAACTGGACACAAGGTTCTTCCTCCGCAGCACCGTGTGCACATGGATCACAGCGGACATTAAAACATGGTGTAAACGGCAGCATTTCGAGGCAAATTCGAATGCCGGGGCTTACGGACGCGTCTTTTTACGTTTGAAGAGTCGGTCACCAGTTACTTCAATTGTATTGGATTTGGCTGAAATGCTGTTTACCCCTGAAATTGTGTTTTGTGGACAAACACTTCACTCAATCCTCCATCGGCACAGAGCTGAGTAGATAATGAGTGAATTTTCATTTTCCGGTGAACCATCCCTTTAGTGAACGTCTGCGCTTTTATTTTGAAGTGTGCGCCCCCGTCGTTTCCGTGCCGCTGCAGCTTGACGCAGTTGTTTTGAAGGCAGCACTGCGGTGATTCTGCGGACGTCTCCTCTCTCCTCACGCTCAGGACTCCTCGGTTTTCCGTCGACGGCTCCTCGTGCTCGCCTCGCCTCTCCTCATCCTAACCTCCCGCACACGAAGGTGCTCTCTCTCGGCTGCGGGGGTGGGGCGGGAGGGGGGGGGACCAGCTGCTGCGGCCACAGCGTCGGAGGCGGGAGGCAGGGCGGAGGAGGATGCCCTTGACTTGGGGGGAGGAGTTGGGGGAGAAGGAGGGAGCACCACCATGTAACGCACGGAGAGAAGGGCCATTGTGACTGTGTCGTATTCATTGCAGGGGGCGTCAGGGATGCGGCGCAGGCTCTCCGGGTTCGAGGAGCTGCTGAGAGGGGAGAGGCTGCGAGTCTGCAGGGAGCCGTGGACCCGGAGCTCTGCCGGTCAGACTGAGGAGCCCTGAGCGGTCTCTACCTCCGGATCAGATGGTGGTGGCAGAAGGCAAGTGTGCATGACAAGATAAACAAACCCCAGAGGCTGCCCTGCCTGCGCTGCGGATAAGCTGCGAGTCTGCTGCGAATTTGCCTTTTCTGGGCCTCTTCCGGCACCACCGACTCCCTCTGTAGGAGTAGATGCACCAATTAATAATAAATGGAATGGGCAGCAGCCCCTGAATTGAAAATTTCGCCTTGAAACCAGTTTATTTTCCTGACCCCTGAAGCAAGGTGCTTTTGACTGAAAACAATGGCTGACCACGAAGAAGCTGAGTTATCCAAGTCCCTGCAGAAGGAGGACGGGTTTTCCAGCGAGCAGGAGGAACCAGGTTCAAACTTCAAATCTAATAGTATGCCGATTTTAAATGATGCGATGCCTCATAAGGAAACCTTACTGGCTGGTTCTGTGCGGATGTCTATAACAGCGGAGGAGAGCGCAGAGTTCATCCAGCTACCGGCCAAGACCGAGTCCTTCGAGGCAGATTCCCCAACGAAAACAAAGTACCTGCCCAAGTCAGGAAAGTCTGCACTGAACAGGCCGAGCTCATACATGGAGAACACGGAGATCAGAAGGAGTAAAAACATGGCGAGGAGGAAGGCCCCGGGGTTTTTCGCTTCTAAGCTAGCACCCATTCGTCTGCCTAGTAGGAAATACCTGAACATTATCTTGCAGGACTCTCGCTGCTTCCTGTTCTGCATGTGCTACCTGACTTTCATCCAGTCTCTCATGGTGTCGGGCTATCTCAGCAGCGTCATCACCACCATAGAGAAGAGGTACAGCCTGAGGAGCTCCGAGTCAGGCCTGCTTGTCAGCTGTTTCGACATCGGGAGCCTCGTGGTGGTCGTCTTCATCAGCTACTTTGGTGGTCGGGGCCAGAGGCCTCGCTGGCTAGCGGTAGGCGGGATCTTTATAGCTGTTGGCGCCGCCCTCTTCTCCTTACCTCACTTCATCTCCCCGGCCTACCAGATCCAGGAGGTCAACTCATCATCTGCCAATGAGGGCCTGTGCATGAACACCAACGCCACTGGCAGGGACCGTGTTGATATCACTTCCTGTCCCAGAGACCAGGAGGGCAACGAACACAACCTGTACGTGGCGCTGTTCATCATCGCTCAGATCCTGGTGGGCATGGGATCCACACCCATCTACACGCTGGGACCCACCTACCTGGATGACAACGTCAAGAAAGAGAACGCCTCATTGTATCTAGGTAAGAGTTTGTGAGGATTGTTGAAAGATGCAGTCTGCAGGTTTCATTTCAGCCGATCTCTGCGTCAGCTGGTTTCACTGATGGGCTCCGTCTGACTCATTTAAAGGAGACATATGGCGTTTTTTCAGTTTTTCTTTCTTCTTGTCGTGAAAGACGATGTTGTGACATTGTCTGTTTCCTTTGCACTTCGGCCAATTTTGTTCTTATCAATACATCAGCATTTCAATCTCAGCAAAGCATAAAAACAATTCTGATATTTCTAATCAATTTAAAACTGGACATTTGAGCCATAGTTAGAGTTAATAAAGATGGACGACCTGTCTCCACTTCCTCCTGTCATTTGGAGCCAGAGTCTGATGCGGCGCCAACGCTGCTGCACAAGGACCTGTTCACCTGTTTATTCAAAGGTAACTCACAACCTGAGCATAGGGGTCTATTGAACGTATCACGCGTCCAAATCGCACCGAATTCAACACTGCACTTCCTCTGGCCCTTAACGACTCACATGACAAGTATGAAGCTAATAAGATGAACAGTTTTCAAGAAATTCAAGACACAGTCAGAGAATTCTGGAATTAGTAGATATATAGATATCTATATCCATCTGTTTCCACCTTGAGTTTCTGTCATTCCCTCCATTTGCCAACATTGCCACTGCCGACATGTCGCACCACAAATGGACAATGTGACCTTGAAACTGCCCCCCCCACCTCTCCTCTTTTCCATTTCGCATGCCTCCCCAGAAGTTCTCGCCCCAGTAGCCTCAAACAAGGTAGCGCCTAATTAAAGCTACAAATGAACACTGTGTTATGAAAGAAAGTAGGGGAGGGAGGAGGAGGGAGGAGGAGGAGGGAGGAGGAGGGAAAAGGCTGAGGTCTGCATTCCTGTCGTTGAGAGGAAAAAAGTCAAAGTGCCACAGAGGCCCAGCGTTGGTCCCAACCCTTTTGTTTTTATGTCTTTTTTGAAGAGCAGGAACTAAAGGAGGAAAGACAGGAGGGTTTGATCAGTGATGAAGCTGTTGGGTGAGAGTGAAATGTGATTAGACACTTTCCAGGTTGTAGTTTTAATTAAAATAAAGTAATTCTAAGGACGAAGTCTAGATATAAACCCCTTGTAGCTGCAGTGGACAAAATGATTTAGCCTTTTTGGTCACAATTTTAACCTAGACTGAAAATAAAGATGGACGACATGGCAGCTCCCAAAAGTGAAGCCAAAGCATCTGGATAGCTCACTGCGGCTGATGTGCTTGACATGGGGTCAACAGTCAAACACAATCGCTCTGCATTCACATCGATCCGTGTGTCGCCCGGCGCTCCATTAAGTTTGTGACGTTCCTCCTTTACACAGATGTGTTCAAACATTTGCTTTGTAAAGGGTGTCGGAATCCTTTCACATGAAATACAGCAACACTTTAACCGTTAAAGGTTCAGTGTGTAGAAATCAGTGACATCTAGTGGTGAAGTGTCATGTTGCAGCTGTCAAATGCAGATTAATTAGCCTCGGTCTAATTCTACCGCTGCTGCACAAAGAGCCGTTCAGCGAAACATGACCTGAACCTGAATTGGAGAATCGGTTCAATCAATCAATCAAACTTTATTTGTATAGCCCATATTTTCACAAATCTCAATTTATCTCAAATGGTTTCACAATGTGCAGCATCCCTCGTTCTTAATCTTCAACATGAGTAAAGAAAAACTACCAGTTGTGGTGATCGACAACCTTACTTACGCTGATGAGCCCCAGTCCCTGACGCTGCAGCACCAGTAGCCAGTTTATTCAAAGCTTTTTAATATTGAACACATCACGTGTCCAAATCTCAATGACAGACAGACAGACAGAGGTTTCTGGAATATTAAATGGCAGAAGTGGAGACAGTGGTTTATCACCTCCACACAGTTTCGTGATGACATTAGTGCTTCACACACTTGCTCTTTACTTTGAAACAAACATTCTGGTCCCTTTTGGCCCTGCTTTGCATTTACCCACATATGAGATCATGCCCAAAGGCGAAACAGAATAATTCAGCACAATATTACTGTGTAACCCCAATAAGAGAATCTCTGTTTGGCTACTGTGCGAGGCAGCGGGCCCCGCTGCAGCCACTATCAAATTTAATGTGCCCGCCCAGAGGTGCAACACCGTCCTCGCTGGTTTGCCAAACTTCTCCATTTTAACGTCTCTAAAACTCCAGTTGTGTGGACGCCAGGCGTGTGTATGTTGCAGAGCTGATGTGGGTCGTGACCCGATTACAAGTGTTTGACTGCAAGAGGCCCTGCTGACGGTATAATGACATGTATGTGTATTATATACAACAACACATCGTTCTATGAGAAAGTTGTCTCTCGACTTTGATTAGAAAAAAGGAACATTTATAAAATGAATGATGGATTATCAGCTCCCTGCAAGAGCTGAACGTGCAGCCAGTAAAACATGACTCACGTTTTAGAATACGTCTTCAACCAGATCTGACAGGATCAGTCTTGTTCTACAAGGGCCAACCAACTGAAGGCCCACTGAGTAACCTCAGCACACTGCAGGAGGACAGTTCATGTCCACTTTGAATGTTCTGCTGTCAACACAACCCGTCCTTGTGTCGAGGTCTCACGAGGCGTCCACACACAGGGTTTCCCTCAGGTAATTGTTTGGCAGAGGCTTCATTTATCCATGAATTGATTCTTCGTTTTGTCTTGAAAATCGAGCTTAAGTTGAGACAAAAGAACTTTTCCCTCCATCGGCATCACGATGTCTGTCGGGCTCCTCATATCTCTGCGATGCCCAGTTGCCCGACTCACCACCTGCAGCCTGCTCTGTGTTTATCCCTCTGTTGAAGGTCTGTTACGTAATGTGACAGCCCGCCAGCCAAGGGTTTTCCCTCTTCTCCGGTTAGATAGGGGATTATCCACGATGCCGCTGGGTCCCCTTGGAAAGCCCAAGTCCTCAATCCCATCCCTGCGCTTTATCATCCAAGGCTTTGGCCAACCGACTCGGATGATGTAATAGTTGAGTGAGGAGGATGGAGCATCAGAAAATATACTTCTGTGGAGATGCTCTGCAGATGAGTAATTGCAGTGCTCATGATTGATTAGAATGTTTTCAGAATATGAATCACTAACCATTTTGATAATAAAGTGTTTTTTCAGGTGAACACAACTTCACCCTAACCCCCACAACCCCTGAGTTCCCAGGACTCTGGCTGTTAGATAACGTTGGGGCGGGTCTGGTGCCTGGCCCAGCTCGGAGTTTTTTAGTCACGCCACTGGATTCTTGTGTTTGCTTTCAACTCCAGCAAAGGACTTTAAGATTTTAATTCCCTCTAATTGGAGAAATCTTATTCTCAGCCCCAAGTAGGCCCCGTACTGCACGGTCATATGATCTGCACACATGATCCACACACATGGCCTTTTGTACACGACCCATAATGCTGGATTAGTTTTGATTTGAAGCGTTGCATAAGGGTTAAAGTTCGGCAAATGTCATTGAGTTCGGATAATTGAATAACAGAAGTTGAACAGCATGACCTCTTTTTTGGGCACATGTTTTTAAAATCATGTCCCTCAGACCCAGTTGGAGTCCAGCGAAGTGATCATGATGTCACGAGGTAAAAATGTGAAAATAAAGATTAAACTTTGATTATTATGATTATGGACATCCTCCAGAATATGAGCACTGTGCTTATTATTTTCCCCCTGTCTCCTTCCTCAGCCATCATGTATGTGATGGGAGCATTGGGCCCAGCAGCGGGTTACCTGCTGGGAGGAGTCCTCATCGGCTTTTACGTGGATCCCAAGACTGCTGTCAACATCGACCAGAGCGATCCGCGCTTCATCGGCAATTGGTAAGAAATATGTGTCTGGTTTTGGCTGATATATATAATGTGAAATGAGTGTGCGCACGAGTGTGTAGGTATATACATGAAGTTAGAGTTTTCAATAGTGACATTAAAACATATATTTGTTTACGGATCCTAAATGTCTCTGATCCATAACTAAAAACTGGTTTGATTATTCGTCCGCACCTGAACTTGTGAGAGAGAAGTTCAGTGCTTGTGAAGCGTGTTTGCTCTTCTGGTCATCTTACATGTCCGTCTGTGAATCTGCTGGTGCGTGTGAGATGTGGTTACTCATCTATCTGCAGCCCTCGGTGATGCCATCCTCTGACTGGCAGCATAACCAGTGACTCATTAGCAAACAGCCACTGGCTTCCTACATGAATTAGAGGTGATGATCGCAGGAAGAGGATGGATGAGTGTGCCAGGCCTGACCACTCATTTATTGATGTGCACAATATGGACACATTCACCTCAACTCACTGCTCGCTGGCGAAAACGACAACATGCTTGCCTTCCTGTATTTTGAGTGGTGTGTTTCTACCCGGTCACGTGTGTCCAGGTGGAGCGGGTTCCTGCTGTGCGCCGTGGCCATGCTGCTGGTCATCTTCCCCATGTTCACCTTCCCCAAGAAGCTGCCGCCCCGACACAAGAAGAAGAAGAGGAGGAAAAAGCTGAGCCTGGACGATCTGTCCAGCGACGACGACGTGCTCAAGGAGAAGAGCAACAACAAGAGCCAGGCGGTCACCTCGTCCATGGGCTTCGGCAAGGACATCAAAGGTACCAGAAAATACTGCGACGTCATCAGTGATGTCAGCAGCCTCTTTCTGACATCACTGATGATGTTGTCGACTGGAAATGAAATATGCCCCAAATCAGGGGCTGCTGATTTCGGAGGCTGCGTTCGAAGACCCTCAAGTGCAGATGAGAAACGCGTCTTTGAGGAAAAGAGTCCGTTTAGTCTTTAAACTTCAACAGGATGCAGAATGAATTTGGTAAAGATACTTTCACATAAGGCTGGGCGTTAAAACAATATCAATAATTATTGATTATTCCTCGGGATCGAGATAACAAGATAACATTTTCTCTTTCTCTCTCGTCTTTCATTCTTCCAGATCTGCCCAAAGCAGCAGTGAGGATCCTCAGCAATGTGACCTTCTTGTTCGTCAGCCTGTCGTACACGGCAGAAAGCGCCATCGTCACCGCTTTCATCACCTTCATCCCCAAATTCATCGAGTCTCAGTTTGGCATCCCGGCCTCCAACGCCAGCATCTACACCGGTGAGCGACACAGCAAAGACACATTTCATCAAGTGACCTCATCGCACCATCCAATTTGTTTCTTTGAAATAACTGGTTTTAGGTTGTCTCCCCTGTTCCTCATTCCGCCTCTCGAAATCTGCTGTACCCAACTGTTCTCTCTCTTCTTGTCTGAGCTCCCTGCACGGGCAGGATGCAGACCGAGTATTCATACAACACACAGGACTTCAAGTTCTGCCTGATCAGCGCTGCCCTGCTGGATTTAACTGAGAGCAGAGCAGGAGACGCTGTCGGCCCCGAGCTGCACACCAACACACATGAATAATAAAGAGCCTGCTGGTCCTCAAATGAAGGGGGCACCTGGGACACTGAGCTAGAGCACTAAGTGCATTACACACTCCTTTAGAAACACACACACACAAAGATTAAAATGCTAAAACACTCACAATTACAAGCTGAAGCACACATGCTTAAACAATAAGGCAGATACATGGAGCTGTATGCATGTCATCTGGTTAAATTGTTGTTTACAACACGCTACTGCCCCACTTATCTTTTCAATCTGGGGATAAAGACATACGTTTTCCAACTGTTTACCCGTGAAGACATTCAATATGTTCACAATTTAACTTTGAGAGGGCGGGGGGGTTGTGTAGCTCTTTGACCGTCGCGCAGTAACGAGTCAGGCTTCATCCGTCTGTGTACATCCGACTATGTTTTCAAACTAAAACCATCTCTGTCCACACGAGCGTTGGTGCTCTTGAGGATTAACTGGCTCCAATGTGAGATGCTTTAAAGACAGAGGAGGCCACGAACGAACAAGTTATTTACATGTGCTGTTCTTTCCTCTTCGCCAGGTTTGATTATCGTGCCGAGTGCCGGCGTTGGCATCGTCCTGGGCGGCTACATCATCAAGAAGCTGAAGCTTGGAGCTCGTGAGTCGGCCAAGCTGGCCATGATCTGCAGCGGCGTCTCGCTCCTCTGCTTCTCCACGCTGTTCATCGTGGGCTGCGAGAGCATCAACCTCGGAGGAATCAACATCCCCTACACCACCGGGTGAGGGGCTTGTTTGTCTGTTTGTTGTTTGTAAGCTAAGTTACACAAACGCAGTTTGAACTGTTGGGCCTTGGCTGAGGTTTGAGCTCTGCTGAGGTTCATTCTACTTTTTGATTTGACTTTTTTTAAACACCTCCCATGGCGTCATTCTCTCTGATTCCATGATTAATCAGGGTTTTTGAAAGATGTCATTAAAATCAGAGCCAGCCGTTTCCTGACTGCAGCTTGGCCTTTCTCGTATCAAATCGTTTCCTGGTCTGTCGGAGCCGGTGGTCGTGTATATCGCTCCATCTGTGGCCGATGTTGGGAGGAAGCGAGTGCTGAGATCAGTGCTGGATAACAGATAACAAGCTGGTAAACTGAGGCCTTTGCTTTTGGACGGAGCGTCCCCCAGGGCGATTACATGGCAACGATGGAAAATGTCCAAGGACAGCTTGGAAGAGACGAGTCTTGGCGGACTGCCCTCTCTTTTTTCTCTCCTGTGCTTTTCCTCTGGTCTTTTTTATTCTGCTTTACGTCCGTCGTTGCTGCGTCCTCATTTTGTATTCTTTAAAATTCCCTGTATCTAATATACCCCTCTCATACCTGTGCCTCTTCGCCATTGTCTTTTCCTTCTCATGTCTCCTCATCATCTCTGAGGCTTAACTTCCTCTTTGTCTCTCCTCCTTCCTTCTGTCTTTTCCGTCTTGTTCCTGCCTCATCCTCTATTTGCCATCCGTCTTTTTTTTGCTTGATGAAAACTGAACAGCTGTTGTTTATCTCTTCATATTTCCTGTCTCCAGCCCGACTCTCACCATGACCCAGAGGAACCTGACCGGGGGTTGTAATGTGAACTGCGGCTGTAAAATCCACGAGTACGCTCCGGTCTGCGGCTCTGATGGCATCACGTACTTTAACCCCTGCCTGGCCGGCTGCAGCAGCGTGGCTAATGACAGCACCGGGGTAAGACGATGACCAGGACAAGCTGAAGCAGACATGCACCATTTCAGTCCTGAAACTCCAAATATCTAAAAGATATCAAGCTTCTACATGATGTCTCCATGTGAAATCTGATTCCTCTCATCTGAAACCTCTTTAACTCCTCATTTATTTATTGTCCAGATTCGTAACTACTCAGACTGCGCCTGCGTCCAGAGTCGACAGGTCATCACGCCGTCGTCCAGCGGTCAGGGTAGCAACCAGCTACAGCTCGTCATCGTCAAGACCTACCTGAACGAGAATGGTTACGCCGTGTCAGGGAAGTGCGACCGTACCTGCAGCACCCTCATCCCCTTCCTCATCTTCCTCTTCATCGTCACGCTCATCACTGCCTGCGCCCAGCCCTCCGCCATCATCGTCACCCTCAGGTACGTTGCTCAGTCAGACGTGTTGGGTAATGGTGTGATTACATGCAGACTGATTGATGCACTGTTTATATTCGCACTCCTGGTTAAAATAATCCACGTGTGAGCTGTTTATTTTTCACTTTACAGCAGAAGTCACCAGAGTCAAAGTCTTAAAGCGCCTTTAAAAGTGAATTAGACACGACTCTGAGTTGACTTTAAAACAAACCTGTTCCACAAGCAAACTGCTGCAGAAGGAGCTAATGCTCAGTATCTGTGGATTCACCTCCAAGGTTTTGGCTGCTGGCTCTTAAAATCGTGAAAACGATGAAACCACGTGAAAATGGTTAAATTTGGTGTGGATCTGGATAAAGATCTGGATTCTGTGTACTCATGTCCGAGTGGTTGTGTGTTGCAGGTCTGTCGCGGAGCAGGAGAGGCCGTTCGCTCTGGGAATGCAGTTTGTTCTCCTCAGGACTCTTGGTGAGTAGATTCGCTGCAGCAGAAAACAAAATAACGACTCCTTAATTTCATCTATTTTTTTATGGTGACCGAGGATTTCTGTGCCTGATATTTTACTCGGTATGAAAAATGTAATAAAGGTAGAATATCGTCACATTTATCTTTGTAACGATACCGATGCTTTAAAAGGTTTCCGCTCATACCTTAGCACAAAATGACAGTCGATGATAAGAACGGCTTTTTTATTGCAAAAGTAAATTTGAAGTTTTAACATATTAAGTGCTCAAAGTATAAAGTATACTTGAATATACAAATATAAATAAGTGTCAGTGCTTAATGAAGTGAAATACTCCAGCTCCGTTCCAAATCACGATGCAGATTTCGTTTCCCAACTGTAGAGTTACCTGAGGGGAACCGTTTCAAACCCGCGTCAGTCCAGGACTACAGAGGAAGATTAGAACGTCAGCCGAAAGCGTTGATTCTAAATGCAGTGCACGTTCTGTTACTGCTGACCGAGGGGCTCCAGTTAGGAAATGAGATGTTGTCTTTTTAATGCCTCAGCATGGCTGCTCCCTTAGATAAGGAGTAAGGAGGTGAACTGGATTTGATATATGAGACGTTGAGGAAGCTGCTGTCAGTGTGAATTAGTTGGAAAACGTTTACAGACTTGGGGGATGGAGGTTGTTGTGTTAGTGCATCATGGGAACTGTAGGATCCAGTGTAAGATTCAGCAAATCTTTTTAATCACTGCAATTTTGGTCAGTCCTTGTTTTTCTCCGTCTCCTGTAAGTCCGACAACTTTGATGAACGAGCAGTTCTGAATCACCACAGTCAAATATAAATAAACTAAAATTTCTCTGCTCAGAAGTTTCATCTGACAATTCTCCTCTTGGATTTTACTTGAATCTTTATTCTGGATTTCCTCACTCTTTGTTTTTCTGTCTCTGGTCTGTCTGCACCCTTTTCTCACCACCTCTCCTCCTCCTCCTCCTCCTCTTTTCCCTCTTTCCTCCAATCAGCCTACATCCCGACACCGATTTACTTTGGCGCAGTCATCGACACCACCTGCATGCTGTGGCAGCAGGACTGCGGCGTCCACGGCTCGTGCTGGGAGTACGACGTCACCTCCCTGCGCTTCGTCTACTTCGGCCTTGCCGCCAGCCTCAAATTCCTCGGCTTCTTCTTCATCTTCCTCACCTGGTACTCCATCAAGTACAAGGAGGAGCGGGTGGAGCGGTGGCTCAAGCGCCACCTCTCGCCCGTCGACACTGTGGGCAGCCTCGTCTGCCACCCGGGCGGCCACAAGGGCCACGCTCGCACCCGCTCCTGCCCCGTCAACATCCCACGAAGTGACCCCAACACTCTGCCTGCTCATGCTCCGCCACGCGCCGGCGCCCTCAACCGTGGTGTCAGCACTCAGAGTTGCCCTGGCAACGAGCTAAAAGCAGTAACCCCTCCCCCGCCTGCTGCACCATCAACACCATCAGCGACACCCGCGCCCACGCCGGCCCAATCACTGGAACACGTTTCAGTCCGAGTCTGAGTTTCAGAGGGGAGGTGGACGGTGAGCAAGATCTCACTCTTTTATTCTGAAATCCAGTCAGCTGGGTTTCAGCTGCCGTCACCACGCGGAGGTCCTGCTCTCATCTCATGGCTGGAAAAACACACACTTCAGTCTTGTCTGCGCCGCCGGCCTCTGAGGGTCAAAGACCAACAACTGGTGGTCGTGATTTATCCTGATTCCAGATCAGTGGTTGAAGGACAAGTTGAACTAATTGGAGACCGCCCAGCCGGGAGACCCCGTCTCTGACTCGAAACACCCGCTGGGTTGGTGAAAACGTTGAAAGCGGCCAGTTGTTTCTCGTTGCTTTCCATCAGACGGCGCAGCGAGCACAAAACAACAGCTCTGCTTCCCCCGCATGGGACGGAGGAGAGTTCATCACCCCCCCTCCCCCCCCCTGGCAGTATGTGCCTTCTGTCACCACACACCTCACTAGTGTAGAACATGGATCAGACATCAGTACCGGACAGCTCAGAGTCACCTGAACAGGTACCTCAGCTTCACCCATCCTGCAACTTTCCCTTCACCTCACATCTGTCTGCTTCTTCTTCTGCTTCTTCTTCTTCTTCCTCATTTGTGTTTTTTATGTCTTCGCCATCATGTGAGTGATTTTTTTTTTCCTTGCATATCGACGCTCGTGGAAGAACAACAAAAAAAAACCCCATGGAAATGTGATACGCTGCAGTTGTGCAAGTGTGGAGAACTGGAAGCCAATGCCATGGTGCTATGTGAAAAAACAATGTCCAGCATCCATTTCTTGTTCTTTTTCTTTTTGGTTGTAATTTTTTTAGGGTTAGAAACATTTGAAAAGAATCCAACTGGACAACAGGTCACCGGGCTAAGCAGCTTCGCACGCACAGAACGCATTCCTGTCCGGTGCAAGGCCTTTTGTTGCCGCCTTGACACAATGGCACGTAGTATTACCGCTGCAAGTCGGATTGCTCCACACAATGCATCCATACCCGAGCTGCTTCCCCTCGGACTGGCTCCCTGATAAGTGGTTTAACCTGAAAAGAACAGGATCGGCATTTTCCTCCTGACCACATTCCTGAGCCAGCTGGACGAGTCGCTGGGATCCATTTCCTCCGCGCGGCCCGGGAAGGAACAGAACTGTGCTCGCTGAAGTTTCCCACATTGGACCTGGAAAGTGTATTTCTGACTAGTTACCAGGCTCATGAGTGACACAGCCATTACCACAACACCTGTACTAAACCTGTAGTCAGACGAGTAGTCGGCCATCACGTAGAGGTCATAGTGTAGTCGTCTAATCTAAGTCATCTCCAGAAATAATAACCCTGCCGGGGAACTTGGGAAGAATCCTGAATGGAGAACTAGTTCCATTCCTCCTGCGTTATGTGAGCTATTTGTTTCACAGTAGTACCAGTGAATTATGGGTAATGACATTCGTCTCCTGAAAGAATTGGATGTGCCGTTTTCTTCACCGCTTGCCGGACAACAGTTGTGGCACACGGTATGTTAAAGTGTGAAGTTCAGAAAAGGCTACAGATCACTGCAGCTGATGATTGTTTTCTTTATCACTGAATCGACTGATTAGTTCTCAACATTA